ATCAGTACGTTCCTGACCAGCGCCGGATCCAGTACAATCAGAAAAAAGATCAACCTGATCTTCCTTATATGCTGCTTATCTCCGGAACACTTTCACAAAAATCAGGAAGTCGTTTCTTTCAAAACCTGAATGACTACATTTATACAGCAGGTGGTGATCTTTCCAAAACGTTCAATGCATTTGGTGGTAAACAAACTTTAAAAGGCGGATATTTCTTCCAGGTAAAAGACAGGCTTTTTGATTCACGTCCGTTCTCCATTTACCTTCCTACCGACAACCCGGCTCTCCGCTTATTACCTGAATCAACAGTGTTCAGCCCGGAAAACTTTGGTGTAAATGGTGAAGCCAACAAATTTGGCTTCGACGAAATCGGTAGCAATAAATACCGTTACCTGGCCAACTCGATACTAAATGCCGGCTATCTTCAATTTGACAATGAACTGGGATCAAAGGTCCGCCTGGTATGGGGTGCACGCGTTGAAAACTTCGATCAATTGATCGGTAGCGTGAAAGTGAGCGATGATCGTCACGTTCGTACTAAAAAGACCGACGTATTACCCGGCATCAACCTGACTTATAAGCTGGATCCAAAAACGAATATCAGGGTATCCGCTTCGCAAACTATCATCAGGCCTGAGTTTCGTGAACTCGCTCCCTTTACATTCTTCGATTTTGAGTTGAATGCAGCGGTACTCGGCAGCCCTGACCTGCAACGTACCAAAGTGACAAATGCGGACATTCGTTACGAACTATATCCACGGTCAGGTGAAACGTTTTCGTTGGGCGTGTTTTATAAATATTTCAACAATCCTATCGAGCAATACTTCAATCAAAGCGGTGTTGCCACAAGCACTTTCAATTTTCTTAATGCCAAACAAGCTACAAGTTTCGGTGTAGAAGCTGACTTCCGTAAAAGGCTTGATGTAATCGATGGTTTGAAAAACTTCACTGTGCAGGGTAACCTTTCCTACATCTACAACCGTGTGAAAGATGAGGAAAAAACGCTTGATCGTCCAATGCAGGGACAGTCGCCCTACGTGATCAATGTGGGTGTACAATATGATCTTCCTAAAGCGGGTCTTAACACCACCGTTTTATTTAACCAGATCGGCCGCCGCATTTTACTGGTGGGTAACGAACAGGTGCCTGCTATCTGGGAAAATTCAAGACCACTACTTGATCTCCAAATTGCAAAAAAACTGATGAAAGATAAAGGTGAGATACGCCTCAACATACAGGACATCATGAACAAAAGAGCATTCTTCTATCATGATATTAACGACGACAATAAGTTCACCAAAGCAAACGACGCCATTGCCATCAGCAGATTGTATGGTACTAATATCAGCCTGACTTTTGGCTACACTTTTAAATAAACTAAACTTCTTAAATAAAAACAATGAAAAAGATCCTGACACTTGCCCTTATCGCTTCTATCGCGCTGGGGAGCTGCCGTAAACTGGTGGTCGATAATAATGGAAGCAGTAACAATGGGGGAAATAATAATGGAGGTGGTAACTCAACCGGCCAAACTATTACGCTGGAAGGAAAGATCACTAAAGACACCTTATTGAAATCTGGTAATACCTATATCCTCAAAGGATTGGTTTACATCAAGAATAACGCGACTATTACCATCGAGCCAGGCACGACCATCAAAGGTTCGTACCTCGATCCTATCGGTGGGCTT